CAAAACACAATTTCTATTGGGCTCAAGTACTCCTTGCAGACGCGGGCCCAATAGTCTTATTCTTCGGCCCAGAGACTGGTGCAAGAGTCTGGATCCTTTCAAACTTCAGGTGCAACTCCAGGTTATGGTCGGCCCCTTTCTTTCTTAGCTGAGGCCCGCGACTTGACCCAAACGAAGCCCAAGTAACAAAATTTCCAGCCCCAATCAACTGGTTTAGTCGGCCCAGACCACGAATCAAGCTCTTGTGGCCCATCTCCATCCCCTGACCCACTCGCCCCGACCCATCCGGACTCATGGTCCAAATAGCACCGCAGCCCACTAGATCTGGCTGCTGGGTGGCCCATCCTAGGGTTGGCTGCTGGGATGCGAGAGAGGCAACAGCGTCGCCCTCCCTCTGCTTCACTTTTCCCGGCGGTGAGGCTGCTTCCGACCTCGTCGACTCCTTGCTCTCCCGCGGGTTCTTCTTCATCTCCTTCTTCAGCGTCGCGAGTAGCAGCACACCGGCGCCGACGTCCCCAATCAACGACTGTTCGCACCAGAGAGGAGTACAACCGCTGACTTCCTTCTTCTTCGCTCCCTTCTCCGACGAGCCGCCACCAAGTTCTTTCTTCTTTGGCGGCATCCTAGGGTTGGAATGAAAAGCGATGCCACCGCCTTCCTTCGCCAGCAGCTCCGCTTCTTCCTCCAACGTCGCCTGCTCGATCGAGAAGAGAGACGCACCGCTGCCCTCCGCCTTGAGCTTCGTCTCGTCCATCGGCGGCGGCTTCTTCTCTTCGGTGATCGTCGCCAAGGCTGGAGATACCGTCGATTGCGGCGCCAAAGGAGCTCTTCGCACTGCCAGCGAAGAAACCCAACGAGCCTGCTCTGTTGCGTCTTGTCGGACGATGTCGATGCAGTAGTCCTCCGCTGGCGACTTCCACTCCCACGAACAGGCCTCACTCGCTCCTTTCCTTTTTGGTGACGAATCCTCCTTCCAGCGAACAAGAGACAATACTGGTTGTCGTCTTGTCCCCGGACGCGCCTTCTTTGGGTACCGCCAGTCCGCCTCTCGGACCGTGGCTGACCTCCTCTCCGACCCCTCAGTTCGGGTTTCTTCCTTAGAGGCGTTGGTCCTCTCACCTTCTTCTTCACTCACGATCGCGACAGTAGCCTCGGCAGCCTTGGATGGTTGTTCAATCGCTGCAAGTGATGTTGATGATGAAGTCGCAGTCATGGTGACCAATGTTGTCGGAAGCTGCTGCTGTTTGTTGGTGACGTTTGGAAGCTCTTCCGTGGCTGGCGGCTCGATTGCCAAAACCTCCTCCACGTCCGGTTGCTCTGCTCGCCTCTCAATGTCACCGTGTGAGTCAACCTGCACAACCGGCGGTTGCTCTTCTCCTGTGGAAGCATCCCCGGTCGGCAGCTCCTCGGAGCTCCAACGACGGCCGATGCGCCGAGCCCATTCTCGCAGCTCTACCCATGACATGTCCGAGAGCCTTGAAGAGCTCATCGTCGAAACAGTTGTAGAACTCGTCCCCGGTTGAGAGTTGTGAAAAACTCAATTCTCGAACCGGGCTCTGATACCAAATGTTAGAAACAAGGTTTCTAACGGGTTAGATAGTTGGGATTTAGAGATTTGAAGAATAGAACTAGGGATTAAGAAGTAGAATTTGGGGAAGAACGTGAAAGAATGGCCAGCGGCCGGATTAGGGAAAGAAGAGAAATTGAGAGGATTTGGGAGAGAATAGGGTTTAGGGATTTTCTTAATATGCTTCTCATTGATACCGAATGAATAGGTAAGGTACATATTTATAGGGAATTCTAGGAAACCCTAATAATAAACCTAACTCTACTAAAAGACTGCTAACTATAATAAGAATTACCCTAATAATAATTCTATTAATAAATAGACAAACCCTACAGAAATCGGTTTCTAACAGTGGTGCTCATTATTTCCTTACTATGGTTGATGATTTTCTCGAGCGGTATGGGGTGTTCCTTCTTCGGTATTAGTCAGAAGTTGCTGGTTATTTGATGATGTTTTGTCAACAGGCTCAACGCCAATATGGTCATTCCATGGTTCGTATCTAGGCAGATAATGGTATGGAGTTCCAAACTAATATCTTACGTACCTACTACGCAAGTGAAGGCATCATCCTACAGACGTCATACACTGATACGCCACAACAAAATGGTGTTGTGGAGCGTAAGCATCTACATTTGTTAGAAGTTGCTCGTTCCCTTCGGTTCCATGCTCATTTACCCATCAAGTTTTGAAGAGGATGTGTCCTAACTGCAACATATCTTATTAATCGGCTTTCTTCCTCTGTGACCGGTAATGGCACTCCTTTTGAGCGTCTCTTTAGCAAGAAACCGACTTATGCTCATCTTCGTACATTTGGTTGTTTGGTCTATGCCAAAGACACACACTCTTCTCTTGACAAGTTTGTGGAACGAGGACGACTGCGTATTTTTGTTGGTTACCCAACTAACCAAAAGGGGTATCGGGTTTTTAGTTTGGAGGACCAGACTGTGTTTACATCACGTGATGTAGTGTTTTGTGAAGAGCATTTTCCTTACCAGTCGTCCTCCACCCCTAGTTCCTCGTCTGTACCTCCCGCTGTTCCAAAATTCGTGATTGATGAACATTCTCTTGACCCTAGCGATGATTATGATGACGCTTATGTTTCTAGTGTGCATGAATACATAGCTTTTGAGGTCTCTTCTCCCACTTCGAACCCTGATCCCGGGTCCACTTTACTCACTCCTATGTCGTCACCAGCTTTGTCATTGCCTGATACGTCATCTCCGGATCGGTCATCCCTGGATTCCTCTCCATCGCCAGTCGTTGAGCTCAATCGTCGGGATCGTCATCGTCAGTTGCCTCGTCGGTTTGATATTTATGAGGTCACGTTACCTACTGCCCATTCTTGTGTGAAATATCCTATGGATAATGTTTTTAGTTATGACCGTTTGTCACCAGGCTATCATGCTTTTGTTGCAGCAATCACACGCATGGAGGATCCTCGCAAGTTTGCCGAAGCGATTTTGCATGCTTGGTGGCGCGACGCCATGCAACGTGAATTTGACGCTCTCGTTGCATATGGGACATGGGAGCTGTGTTCTCTTCCGCCAGGGAAACGGATCGTGTTTTGCAAGTGGATTTTTAAGATCAAATACCGGCCTGATGGTAGTATTGAATGGTTCAAGGGCCATCTCGTCACCAAGGGGTACACACAGCAAGAAGGTGTTGATTTCCACGACACCTTCGCCCCGCTTGCGATGTTAGTTACAGTTCGTTGCGTGTTGGCACTTGCGGCTCAACATGGTTGGTTTTTGCAGCAATTGGACAACAATAACGTGTTTCTCCATGGCGATATTGACGAAGAAGTTTATATGCGCGTTTTGGAAGGGTTTGCTCGACCAGGGGACGCGTGCGTATGTCGTCTTCGCAAATCACTTTATGGATTATGTCAGGCGTCGCGCAACTGGTACAAAAAGTTCACATTGGCTCCCTTACAGTTCGGTTTTAGTTGTTCACGAGCAGATCAATGACTATTCACTTATTGGAAGAATGGGGTGTTCGTATTTGCTCTCATATACGTGGATGATATTGTTCTAGGGGGAGATAGTTTGGAAGTTATTGAAAATGTAGAAGGCTTTTCTGCAACGGGAATTAAATATCAAAGATTTAGGGCCATTGAAGTATTTTTGGGGATAGAAGTGGCACGATGGCGTCATGGAATCTCATTATCTCAACGTAAGTACGTGTTAGATATCCTGAATGATGCTGGTGCTCTTGGAGTAAAGTCGTGCTCTTTCCCTATTGAACAAAATCAACACATCACCCGTGTTGAGGGTCCAGCAGCACATGATCCTTCAGCATATCGTAGGTTAGTCGGGAGGCTCTTATATTTGGCAGTAACACGACCTGATATCACATATGCAGTTAACATATTGAGTCAGGAAGTGAATTCACCTAGATAGCAACATGTGGAAGCAGCATATCGCGTTTTACGATATTTGAAGCATGCTCTTGGGCGTGGTATGTTCTTTTCTTCAAAAGTTGACTTGAGTCTAACGGCGTATTGCGACGTATACTGGGGATGATGTGAAGAAACGCGTCGTTCGACGTCTGGATATTTCATTCAACTAGGACAAAAGTACTGTGTCATGTCGTACGAAGAAACAATAAGCAGTGGCAAGGTCCTAGGCCAAAGCTTAGTACAGGTCGATGGCTGTCACAGTTAGTGAGTTGATATGGTTACGTTGGTTACTACAGGAGTTAGGTGTGAAGTCAAGAGGTCTCACTCCGTTATACTGCGACAACCAAGCAGCTCTGTACATTGCTTCGAATCCAGTCTTTCATGAGCCCACAAAACATGTTGAAATGGATTGCCATTTTGTCAGAGAACGAGTGGCTTCAATGGAGATTGATCCCAAGAAGATCTCCACTAGTGATCAAGTGGCGGATGTGTTCTCCAAACGGTTGGGCCGTGAGCAATTCGCCTATCTTGCCTCCAAGCTTGGCTTTCATGATATTTATGCTTAAGTTTGAGGGGGAGCGTTGCGTGGCAATTAGGCAAATTAGTTGGTTGTCCTTAATTTTCACCAATAGTTATACGTGGTAGTAAATTGTAATTGACCAAGTTGTTATAACCCTAGTCGATCACGGTTTGTAGGGTTAATAGCCTATATATGTGGCTTGCATGCTACTGTAACGTGGTGTAGTTGTGAGTTTAATAAAAGTTTAGCCGATAGCTCTTGTGAGCTCTCCATGAATTAGTCTCGTTTATATCGAACGAGGATACCACGTAAATCGTCCGTGTTATCTTACTTCCGCACTTAGTTTTTTTCCTTACCTACTCCGTCAGCATTGTTATGGGTAAGGAGGTGAACTACTCTTTCCAAACAAAGAAAAACAGTCAGGAGGTGAACTACTTATACTTTTTTTTCTCAACTATACGAGTAATTTGACTGCCTATATATAAATCCCCACCTCCGACACCTTTTCCTCCATCACTTGAAACCAACAAAACCCAAACAAAACAACCCTCCGAAATCTCCTCCAACAAGTTAAATCAGAATCATGGCTTCTTCTTCCAACTTGTTCCTCTTTGCTCTCGTCCTCGCCGTCACATTCTGCAACATGGAACATGGAATGGCGGCTCGACAGCTTCTCCAACTGCCACAACCCACAGCACTGCCTCCTATGCCCACCATCCCATCTCTGCCGCTACCAACTCTCCCAACCGGAGGATTGCCGCCGCTCCCCACCGCCGGCGCCGCCATGCCCACCATCCCATCTCTGCCAACCGGAGGAGGATTGCCACCACTTCCCAGCGCCGGCGCCATGCCCACCATTCCTTCCATGCCAAAGGTTTCTCTGCCGCCACTGCCTAGCGGTTTCCCAACCATTCCTTCCATCCCCGGCCTTACCCCGGCAGGCCCCGGCAACTGATAAGTGAATTAGTACACGAAGTTGGTGGATGTGGTTGTGTTTCGGAGTTGACGATAAGAACTGACTATGGGGATGAGACGTGATATTTACTATTGAATCAATGCTTGCTGTAATTGTCAATATGCAAGGGGGTGCCTCTTTGTCCTCTTGAACCGTGGAGTTTTGTGGTTAGAAATGAGTGTGACCTTGACCGACTCACTCATCCTAAATTTAGAATCTTGATTTTCTTCCTCGGCTACCACATATGCTTCCTCATCCGCAGGATTCACCGTCATCCATGTTTGCTTCCTTCAGGTCTAACATATGACCTTCAGAAGCTTGAATTTCTTCCTCAACTACCACCTGAGGTGTTTCCTCGTCCACAAGTTCACCATCATCCATGTTTCCTTCCTTCAAGGTCTATCATATGACACAACCGTGTGGATAACTCCACCCAACTATTTGTTCAACCACAACACACACAACCTTCCGCTGTAAAAACAAATGGGCAAGTATACAACATCTTAAGTAACCAATTTCAACTCATATCGAGATTGCACAGAGTCTACCACAGACTAGTATCCAACTTAAACAGAATGATATCCATCTACCACAGACGAATATCAAAATTGTCCATACAAATAGCCATGTACCACGAACTAAGAAAGCTCAACAAATGGACATATAAAAAACTGAATTAAAATTTTTATGACAAGAAGTGGAAAAATAAAGAAAAATGAAACTAAAACAATGCTCATAACATTCTATCAAGAAGTGGATATCCCAGCGAACCCACAACACAGATGCTCTCCGCGCCCTAGCAACAACTTCATTTGCCTTAGCAGCAGCCAACCCTTTTTTCAGCACCTTCACAATTAGGCCACTCCAATTATAAGTCCTTATGTCCTCCAGCATCCCACCCAGAAACAATGCATATACAAGCTTACAGTTGCGTGCATAAATTGGAGCGAGCAACGAACCAACAACCAACAACAAGACTTGCTTCACAGCCATCTGAACATCAGTCTCATCCTGGAGGAGGAGAAATTTTACAATGCTATATAGTATTGGTGCTATAGGTTTTTGTCTTTATGGTACAAGTTAAAATTTTACATTTACGTTATTGTACAACTTCAGATTGTACCTATATTTTTTGTACAAATTCTTTTATGGTACAACTTGAACTTGTACCTTTATGTGATGGTACAACTTCAAGTTGTAAAGTTGTACCATAACATAATGGTACAAATTGCTTTATGGTACAACCTAAACTTATACATTTAATGTTATGGTACAACTTTAGTTGTACATTAAAGCACCAACGCTATATATCATAGTAGAAGTGGTCCCTGGAGGAGATAGCTACTTTAAGCAGGTCCAATAACTTAAAATTTTGGTGGCGGTTACCAGTCATAGAAAATCAATAGTAAAAACAGTAGCCGAAGAGTGTTCAACCTCTTTCGTGGATTAGTTCTGTGAATTCTAGGGATACCGTGTAAATCCGTGTCTGTTTCTATTTTCGTTACCGTATTTGATCTCTTAACACATAAAATCAATACATAAGGATTGATAAATCACTACTAATCTAAGTAGTTGTAATTTACTAATTTTTAAGTATTGATTTTTCCATGTCCGAATTCTATTTTTTTTTTGGTGAGACATGTCCGAATTCTATGAGAGAGGACACTGAGAACTTGGAGATGTACAAGCCAGCCGACCAGCAGTTTTCCTTACCAACCCCGTCAGCATTTTTTATGGGTAAGGAGGTGAACTACTTTTTCCAAACAAAGAAAAACAGGGAGGAGGTGAACTACTTATACTTTTTTCTCAACTATACGAGTAATTTGACTGCCTATATATAAATCCCTAACTCCGACACCTTTTCCTCCATCACTTGAAACCAACGAACCCCAAACAAGTTCAAATCAGACATGGCTTCTTCTCCCAACTTCTTCCTCGTTGCTCTCTTGCTCGCCGTCACATTCAGCAACATGGAAAATGGAATGGCGGCTCGACAGCTTCTCCAACTGCCACAACCCACAGCACTGCCTCCTATGCCCACCATCCCATCTCTGCCGCTACCAAATCTGCCGTCCGGAGGAGGATTACCACCGCTCCCCAGCGCCGGCGCCGCCATGCCCACCATCCCATCTCTGCCAACCGGTGGAGGATTGCCGCCACTCCCCAGCGCCGGTGCTATTCCGACCATGCCCACCATTCCTTCCATGCCAAAGGTTTCTCTGCCGCCACTGCCTAGCGGTTTCCCAACCATTCCTTCCATCCCCGGCCTTACCCCGGCAGGCCCCGGCAACTGATCAGTAAAGTTGTACAAGAAGTTGGTGGATGTGGTTGTGTTTCGGAGTTGACGATAATGTTGTTACGTCTTGCGATATATTTCTTGTGCAGAGGGCTCATTGTTTGTTTTTGATGGTCTGGTTGTTATTATTTGAGTTTGTTGGCTTGTATATTTTTGTTCACATTATTGTATGCATCACTTGTATCATTTGTCTGTTTCATTATACGGGTCGTTTGCTTCATGGATTTAAAAAATGAGGGTTTTGGTAAAACGTGGGTTTTGGAAAACCATGGATATATGATGGATTTGGTGGCATTATGGATTTGACCAAGTCTATTGTTTGCTTGTTGGATTTGATTATAGATTTTGTTTGAATAGATTTGTGGATATGAAATTCAAATTACCTTGTTACCCTTATCATCTAATTATATTTCTATATTATAATCCATAAATTTCATTAAAAAATCCAACGCATACAATGAAATTTTAAACTCTTTACCACTATGTGGACTAATAATTCAACTACAAATATATAAATGTATTATAGTTTGGCACTAATTAACAACTCATCTAATAATGTACGCAATATTATGTATCAATTGTAAACAATTGCTCGCTTTATTGCTACAACTCATCAACTTCTTGCTAACTCCCCAATTTTGGAATCCGACAATCAATCAAATAATAATGCACAAGACGAGCATAAGATGTTTATAGTTGAATCTAACAAATCACATATACATTCATATTTAAATAAACTATGATATTACAAAACGAAATGAAAAATTCTCATATATATAAAATACGACATTATAAAAGTTTATAATTGCATGACCATTGAATTAAAGTAGGACAACTTTGTAATTAAAGTAATACGTAAGGGTAGAAAGGTAATTTACCATCATGGATTTTAATCCATCACCCAAATCCCACCTCAAGAGGTGGAACTTCCAAGTCCGTGGGGTCCACGGATTTGGAACCTCAAAAGTGGCGGGACCCACAAATTCCATCTCCCTAATTCCCTAAGGCAAACGATGGATTTCCGTTAAAGTCCATGATGGATAGATTTCCATCACCAAATCCATCACCAAAACCCTCAAGCAAACGACCCGTATGTTACTTTTGAGTTTCCAGCACTTCATTCTATATGTTACTTCTACGTATGATTTTCATTGCATTTCTCATTTATGGTAATGTGACAAGATAAGTAGGTAGATTGTCAATACATGCCATACTAGAAGCGTTGAAACTGGTAGCTGACGCAACACGACCTCAATTAAAATGATGGTTAAAAGTAATAACGTTAAATCAATGATGGTCAAAAGTACTAATTATTAACCATGTTTTTTTTGATACGGCGATTGTTAAGTCTTATTATTAAGGGCATTGTCTATTTTTTACCCAAACCTTTTTCAGATTCTTTTATTTTAACCAAATCTATAGAAATTCTATTTATTATCCAAACGTATTCTAATTTATCAAAGTCTGGGCATTCATTCTGTTACTGTTACTTATTTCGTCCACGTGAGAGGTGTGATTTTGTTTTGTTTTTTGATCATCTTTTTATTAAAAATAGTAAATGATGGTATTCTGACCGCCACGTAGGAAGTCAACTCATTATGGTCATACTTAGTCAGCATTACTAACAGAAAAGTTGACGGAGAGTTAAGGTTTGGATAATTTTTAGGAATTCAATTGATTTGGCTAAAATAAAAGAATCTGAAAAAGGTTTGGGTAAAAAATAGACATTGCCCTATTATTAATTAACTACGGTAAGAGGACTCACTAAAACAAATTTACGGGCTGAATTGAATGACACACAGATGTAGAATCGCTGCTACTTATTTTGCCTAACTGATAACACCCAGCTAGGTGTTGAGTTCACGAATCGAACTTGAAACACCAAAGATAGCAACTTGTCCATGAAACCAAGCTGCCAATGAGAGTTTAAACGAAAACGGATGGAACCCCTGTGCATGTATGTTGCTTCTATGGCGTCCGACGAAAGCTCCGCCGTCCTCTCTCCCGTCGACGACTTCCTCGACCCCGACGTCAACGACAGCTACAATCTCCACTCCTCCCACCCTCACTCCCACCACAACATCTCCAGGCTATCGGTCTGCACGAGCTCCATGTACACCAACGACGACGACAAAGACGAAGCCATCAATCGTACGTTCATGTCTGGCTTGTCCATCGACAGCCTCGACGCCGATGCGGAGCTCTCGGATCAGAACCCAAAACGGGTCCGCCCAAAACCGACCCTGGGACCCGTACACGTCAACCTCATCTCCTCCGATTTCGACTCCAACAAGGAGTCAAGATGCTACTCGCTCGCCTCGACGCCGCCGGAACAGGGTAGGGCCGCTGATCAGGGGAGCTGATGCAGTGAAGGAGCACGCCAGCGAGAACGAAGGTGGGAAGAAGGTGGTGTCGACGGGGCGGAAACTGAGGGGGAACCCGAGGCGGCGGCGGTTGGTTAGTGAGGTGTCGTCCGACAGTGACGGAGGAGGAAGGGGAGTGGGGAGGAGTAGTCGGCGGCTTAATTGCTCTTAGAAGAAATTATGGTTTTTTATTTATATTAAATAAACGTGATAATGAGGTGGAAATGAAATGGTAATTTTAAATAATTTAATTTATTATTTTTATATTGCCACGTCAAACATTTAACGGTCAACTTTTAGAGGTGAACTCCACGGAAGCAAAAGTTAGCAGAGTTGGACGGAGAGTGACCAAACGTGAACTATTTCAGTAAATTGAAGTACTACCAATGGATTTAAATATTTCGATTGACCATACTTGAACGTTTTTGTAATCTCAGTGACTAACCATGCAATTAACCCCTACAACAACACTAAGAGTGTTGTTATACTATCCGCTCCCCACTGTTGGATGTGCTTTCCTTCTCATGGGCTGAATTGAAATTCCGTTCCGCAACGTGACTCCAAAAAGACGCCGCTATCATTTACCTTAGTTGTTACAGACACATGCTTTGCATGGAAAAAATCCAAAAATACACATATTGTTAAGAAATTTTCCCAAAATACATTAGTTATAAACAAATTCCTAACGTACACATGTTTGGCCATTCACCGCCTTTGTAAAACGCGGGGAAGTAATTACCGCTTTCGTAAATGGCGGGGAAGAGATCACCGCTTTAATGATACACGGGGAAAATATCACCGCATTGGTAAAAGGCGGGAAAAAGGAGACCGTTGACGTATAAAGCGGTGAGACGTTAATCCATGCCTCCCCGCATCTGACGGCCACGGTGAAGGGGCGGGAACGCGGATCGCTGAAGTGGAAAAATGTGAGGTATTCACTGCGTTTGACGAACGCTGGGTATTCACTGCGTTTGATAAACACGAGGAATACCCCGCGTTTGTCCATGTCAGGGATTCACGCCCCCGCCCCTTCATCGTGGCCGTCAGATGCTGGGAGGCACAGATTCTGGTTTTCCATTCCAGATCCGACACCTCCGAAACCTCCACGTCTGCGATCCCACTCCATCAGCGTTTTCGAGGAAGGTGGGCTCTTTCCTGCCTTGGATAACGACGGAGAATGCTCTGTGTTTCCCCAACGCGGAGGCTTCCTCCTATAAATACAGCTGCCCCTTCCCCTTCCAAACCACACCACAACACATTTTATTCTTTCTCCCTCCATCCTCACTCTAGTTTCGTTCTAAGTTTACTCTGTGGTTGCGGCTAAGTCCGATCTTCCGCATCAAATCGAATTTATAGAGTTATTTCCTACAACCCCCCCTCTAAAAATCCGTCAAACCTCTGGCTGACTTTCGCAAAAAATGGACGAAGAGGCTCTCAGGTACGTAGTTGTTTCCGTTTTTGTGATTTTTTTATGCGAAATAATCTGAATTCATTAATTTTTTTTTACAGATGGGTGCCAAGATATACAACCCTGGATTGTATATCGATCCTGGGCAAGGGATACGACGGATTTATCGTGCAATTTGGCACAATAATTCGGTAAACACTCTGTACCTATATATTTGTAAATGATTTATTTCATGCCTAGTTTTATTTAATCTAGATTTATTTCATGCTTCGCTTTATTTAATGTAAATTTATTTCACGCTTAGTTATTTCATTTAGATTTATTTCATGCTTAGTTATTTCATTTAAATTTATTTCATGCTTAGTTTTAGTTAATTTAGATTTATTTCATGTTTCGCTCTATTTAATGTAGATTAAATTCACACTTAGTTTTATTTCATGCTTAGTTTTAGTTAATTTAGATATATTTCATGTTTTGCTCTATTTAATGTAGATTAAATTCACACTTAGTTTATTTAATTTAGATTTATTTCATGCTTAGTTTTAGTTAATTTAGATTTATTTCACGCTTAGTTTTATTTAATCTAGTATGTTGGTTTCCTTTGACTAACATCTTTTGTGTTTGGGGTATCTTTTTTTATAGGAATCACTTGTTCCCGTCATTCATAGATGGACAACACACTTGCTTGCTTGGCATCTTTGACTCTCGTTGTATCTAGAGAGGACGCATTTGTATATGTGAGATATTTCATGCGGATTGAGATCGACAACGATTTGTTGACACCTGACGGCAATAGTAGAGCGACGGCGCTCCGACGTACAAACGTTCCATTTTCGCGAGGGGGAAATGACGATCACCTTGTATACTCCATTTATACTTTCGCCATGGCTGGTAGTTTAAATGCAGAATCTAGCCCCGTTGTCCATATGGAAGGTCCACATGTGCAAATCTTGACCTTCAGCCCATACTGCCCCGGCCCGATGTATCTAACCGATCGTCTTCATCTTCTGCTCGTATTTTTTGGGTTGATGTGCAGCCGCTTGAAGGTGAAAAAATAACTAATTAACACATGAGAAATTGAATACAAACAATGAGTAATTAACTCGCACAATAGTACATCAAGTGCCTGCATTCGACAATTGATCTCTTATGTCTTTCTTTCTTCCCAAATTTGTACTGGAAATTGGCCAGAAAGCGTCTAATACAACACTGTCATGTCCCTCCCCCTTCATCGGGAAAACCACCCACGGCGTTCCTAATCCCAGCATGTTGATCGGATATAATCCTAATACCCTGCCGCTGTGTGACGTGGATGTGTAGCTGGTCAAAGAACCATGCTCAACTTAAGCTGTTCTCCCCTTTCACTAATGCAAATGCCAGAGTGAAAATCCATAAATTTCCATCAATGCCAGTTGTAATGAGGATAGTTCCTCTGTAATTCCTAGTAGGAAAGTTCCGTCAACCTGTTAAAAATAATTTTATTTAGTATAAATTTGACTTAGTTTAAAAATGAACTAGAATAACAGCAATTAGTATGTAATATACCTAGATCACGGGAATGCAGAAGGTAAATCCGTCAATGCAAGGCTTGAATGCACAAAATAGACGGTGAAACATCAACTCATTCTGTATTTGAACTTGATCTTCAGTTTGTACATTGTTGTACAACGACACGAAAACAGTCCCAAGGTTGGACTCCTCCATTGCGGCGATTAATTTAGGGAGTAAAGCATATGAACCGTCTCAATCACCATACACCTCAGCCATGGCCTTCTACTATCCATGCCATGCCTTTTTGTACTTGATCGTGTACGAATGTCGATCCTTCACCTCAACCATGATAGCTTTGATCTTGATATCTAGTTGGGCCTTGATCGAATGCTTGATGGTTCTCCCCACTTTCTTTGCTTTCAATTGGCATTGATCTCGGGAAAGTATGGACGAGGAGAAACTGCGGTTTTTCTCTGCTTTTCGAATGATCCAAGCACCCTTTCGCTTCATATTTGCAACCTGCAATTGCCACATACAGCTCTTTCCAGCATTCTTGCATATGACATGCAGTTGTTTACAATTAGAATATTTTACCTTCCACTGGAAATTGCGCTGCATGGCTTCTTTGCTAAAAGCATCTTAAACAGCGTCTTTCGAAGTGAACGCCATACCCACCTCCAAATTGGTTGTCGGATTATACAATGGCATAGGGAAAAATTCAGGGGCATCGTTCTGACCATATAAAAAGTGAGAGGGAAACTCTATGTAGTATGGCGTTGGTGGCTCACGGAATGTCACCTCGTCGTCATCGATATTGTCGGTATGTTCCTCCTCGCCAATTGATCCAAACTCTTCCTCACTTTCCTCGTTGGTGGAGCCAAATGGATAGCTTGGGTCAGGGATCATCGATTTAACCTAGAGCGGTGAACCATCCCCGCTTTAGACCAAGGCGGTGAAGTGTTTCCCGCTTTGAAAAAAAGCGATTAAATGTTCCCCGCCTTTGACAAAGGCGGTGAAGCTTTGAATGTTGTGGTCCTTGTGGATAAGAGCGGGGATTAAACGACATTAATTTGACCGCTTTCCTTTGACACGGTGAAGTTATTTAATGCGTTTGATAACAACGGGGAATGTCAAACATGTTTATTTTGTGAATTTTTTTTTATAACTAATGTATTTTGCGAATTTTTTTTAACAATATGTGTATTTTGAGACTTTTTCCTGCTTTTCCTTCTCTTTGGCCACCAAACCCTGCCTTGTGGACCTCCTGCTTACAAGCTGCATAGTAACTTACATCCTTCTTCCATAAGTCTAATACTTTTAGAAGCGTTGTGTTGTTACAGCCTATGTCTGTACTAAAATCTGTAGAAACCACACAAGGCAGAGTGAAACGAAAATCGTATCAGAGTGAAAGGAAAATCTTATTAAACATTTTACGAACTATAACTTCCACCATTAAACAAACCCTCATCCAAACGTTTACGAATTAGCATCCTCTCACTACAAAAAAAGGGAGCTATACCAAGGGTTATGTAGCAAGGGTTCGATTAACCCCTGGTAATATTTTACAAACTCATTGTACTGGGGGTTTATACCAGGGGTTGCATGCAACCCCAGCTATAGAGCAACTCTCTTTCAATACCAACTCCCATTCTTTCACGATAGAAAAATCCCTTTCTCAAAAAAAAAAAAAAAAAAAATCTTAAATCTGCCCACCGTCGATTTTTTCTTTTGAGTCCGACTCCCAGCTCGGCATTGTCGCCGGATCTGCCCGCCGCCTCTCCATTTCTACTTTCTTCTCTCCGATTTGTGAAACCGGTACGTGGCAGACGGGCAATGGAGCAACCAAACTTTGAACTGACTGGTGGCCATCGAGGAATGTATTGAGTTCATCAACCACTCCTCTACTCTGCCTCGATCCAAATCTGTCTCCGTGTAAACCCAAATCTTGCAGCGATCGAGTAGAATTGAATTATTTCGAAAACCCAGAAGAAGAATCTAAGCACCAAGCTTCTGCCAGCGAGCGAGAGAGAGAGAGAGACCATCTTCAAACATCCGGTTTCAGTTTTCATCGGGAAGCAAAGTCCACTAAGGAGCACCAGATGCAAGAGATGATATAGGGTTTGTCATTTACTTGTTACAGATTTCCTGGTTTGTCATTCCACAAAAAAAAAAAAAAGTATAAACAAGGACATTAGGTGATATGGGTAAGGCTGGTGTTTCACTATGTGTCAGTGTTGACTTGATAAACCAGAAATGAATTGGGTGAACACTCTGTCTCTTTATTTATGAAATTGGTGTTTTTTTTACATGTGGCAATGGTTTTGTTCATGTCCTGGTACTTCTTTTCAGAACGACTACAAACTCTGAAGGTGTGAATTACGGGAAGTAAATCTTGAATTAATTTGTGGCTCGGCACTTAGGCATAGAACTTTCAATTTATGTTTTCTAGAACCCTTTTGATGCGGGTCTGCTGGACCCTAATTTGCTACTTTAGCATTGGTTACAGCCTAAATGTATTACTTTTGATGTAGGGAGCTGTATAAGAACAACCTGCATGGGACTATCCCTGCTGAGCTGGGTAAGTTGAAGAATTTGATCAGTTTGGACCTGTACAACAACAACATAACAAGGACAATTCCTTCTTCACTGGGAAAATTGAAGAGTCTTGTGTTCTTGTAAGTTCAAGCAACTTTCATGTCTCTGGATATGAATTTGTTCTTCAACTTCTTTCGCAATGAACTTATGTACATTCTTATAAATAATATGATCAGATTTTGTTCTAATCCAAATTCTAATATGTTACAATGATTGCAGAAGGAAAAATTAGGCAGAACTCCTACGAGGCTTGAAGTTTTCGAAGCTAACCATAAGAGAAAGGATGGGACATACATCAATGATCATGCTAAGGAGTTCATGGTAATCCCTATGGTAGCTCCTACTCATATGTGAAATGAGAGACATAGTTTGCTTTAGTAGATTAGTAGTGCTGCTGATGGTGTTTGGTATTTATCTAACATGTGATTTTTCTGCAGGATAAAGCAAATGAAATGGAGGGACCCAGTGAGGAGGTTTTTCAGAAGCTAGCAGGTCCAGAGCATCCTGGGAGGCTTCGATGCATGGGGTTAGGGCCAACTCAGAGTGCATATTTTGGAGTTTACTCGCGTGGGGCTGCATCTGGATCATGCTCATGTTCCTGTAGTCATTCGAGTGAAGATGTACCAACTTTGAAAGGAGAGTTAAGTGAGGTGAAGAAAAAAATGGAGGTCATGGCAAGGTTCATCAGTAAGCAATTTCCTGGGCAAAATTGGATGGAAGATGCTGAAAACAATCCGGTAATTTCTCTCCCCTCCTTTTCTCTTGTTTGAGGTAGTTTTGGTGTTGCCTGGGCAAAATTGAATGGAAGATGCTTGAAATGACAAATCTGCCAGTTCCGATGTGTCTTTGGTGTGGTCCTTGTTCTGTTCATGCCACCGAATCGTTCTAAATTTGAAATAGTCAATTGTTGCTTCCTCTAATCTAGGCGTGACAGGTCCTAGCACTTGACTGCAAATCTGCCAGCTCCTAGGCGTGTTAGCTTATGTTTTTTTTTTGTTTTTTTTTTGTAGAATCTTATGTTTTACTTTACTGTAATGAGGCAGAGCATGCTGCTTATGGATTTTTTGTTCCATTAACGTTTATGATGGTTTGCAGAGGAATGGTGTTTTTTTATATTATATATTGTAGAGGATGATGGTATTTGAGTTGATTGACTAGTATAGTAGTTACATTTTATGTTCTTCTTCGAGGGAGTTTTCTTGCTTAGAGATATTGGGCTTTTATGTTTTGCTAGCCTCGGTTGTCTCTGCTTTTTAATAATAATAGTTGTGCTAGCTTGTTGGTATCATTTTCAAGTGTTGTCTCTGCATTTTTGCAGCTTCAGTTTCTTAATCTCTTATAGCAATTTTGTTAGAGGTAAATGTTTGATAATTCTTTTCCTTTTCTTCAGGGTGCCAGTACTGCCCCATCTTTGGGTTCTCGAGCTTCTTGATGCCGTGATGCTCTTAGATGAAGCTCTTAGATGAAGGATGTTGAATCATGTAGGTACTTTTGAGTAATATTCTAGTAGGTTGTTATGTTTTTATGGATTGCCAATGATGTTAGTAGGGATTATATTATGGTACATGGAATGTTTAGGTAAATGATGAATCATGGTACGGATTATGGAATATTGACGGTTTTGTATGGTATGTATGGTACGGATTACTGAAATATGGTATGAATTTGGTCACTATTGTATATTAGGTTCTGATTTTATTTGTAGTGACTATAGTATTTGCAAACAAGTTATAACCACCAGCTTTGGTGGTCCTATTTAGTGACAGCTTTGAATTTATTTTTAGTGACAGCTTTGCATTCTCTTTAGGGACGGTCTGATTTCGTCACAATTTTTTTTTTGTATTAGCCACCAATTCAGCAGGGGTTTAAACCCTTGGAATAAACTTAATTCAAATGAAGCTATAACATTCACTAGCAAGGGTTCCAACCGTAGCTAATTTAACAACGCATGTAGCAGGGGTTTGAACCCTTGCTAGGAACATTTCCTTGTTGGATTTTAAACTGTCATGTAGCAGGGGTTCGGCCCCTTGCTATGAGTAGCTACGGTTTTAACCCCTGCTAAAACCCCTGGATGGAACTTCCACCGTGGGTTTGTCAAAACCCTAGCTATCCATAGCAGGGGCAGCATAGGTGAGGGTTGATCCAGGGGTTGTATAAACCCTTGATACAATTTATAGCAGGGGTTAAAACCCCTGCTACAGACCAATAAAACCCTTGGTATAGCTCCCTTTTTTTGTAGTGCTGACTACTATTAAAAATTACAACAATGCTATAGACATCGCTTAAAAAACCCCCAAATCTGCAAAACCCAAACTCGCTTAAAAATTCTTCGAATCCGCATCCATGAAACCGTAATGCATATCCACAGCAAACAGACTTCAATCCACAAGCCAAACTCAAAAAATTTTATAGATCAACATCGGTTCTCACTTCTCTTCCCTCGTCTTCCTCAGTGGGCACTCTCTTAATTCATTATCGTCGGCCCTGGTCTTCATTCGTCATTGGCTTTTTGTGGGTTTTGTTTACGGAAGAGCGGAGGGAAGAGGGAAGCAACATTCAGGGAGAGGAAGAAGTGATGGCGACAGAAAGGAAAATCAAAATTCGGGTTTCTTTGAAATGTGGAACCCACCCAAATGTAAGAAGTGATGCTTAAACACATGCTACATTACACGTTTGGTCATTCAAATTATACGAATCTTTCACGTTTGTAAACCAAATTACTTTCTTTTTTATACGAATCATTCACGCAACGCCCAAAAGTGCAGCTGAAATCTCCATGACCCAGGAAGCAGGAAACACACACCGTCAGAACTTAGATGAAAAGAAGAGGAAGATTGCGATTGGGGTGGGTGAAGTTCAAAAGAATCCATTGATTAATTCAATCAAGGGAACACATTGATAGTTAAAGTTAAATTGCATAACAAATTGGTGCCTTGGGAATAAAAAATAATAAAAAATATATATTAAATTCTAACTCCCACATAATGAAAAAAATTAAAAGATCTTGAGAAGAAAATAATCCTATTTGACCGCTATACATTGCTAACATCAGAAAATGAAATAATCGGTAATCCCGAGTAACAGGCCAAGCGGCTGGATTTGTACAAATAAGAATCCCCTTCGTTACATGATTTCTTCTTCATATAGATCGATTTTTTATTTATTTATTATTTTCTATAATTGCCATTTCTTCAAACTAATGGTCAAAGGGCTTAGTTGACTGCTATGTAGGTTGCTTTTAACAGAATTGGGTGGTCGGTGCAATTCGCAAAGTTAGTGAATAAGAAATAAAAAGTGATTCGGGTGGCAAACGTGAAAGATTCATATAATTTGAGTGACCAAGCGTGTAATTTAGCTCTTAAACGCACTTGCTCTCTCGCTATTTCACTGTCTCTCTCCATGAGTCATCCCTACAGCTCCACCTCCTGGCGGTCTCCTCAACCTCCGGGCAACATGTTTGGACACCGGCCTTCTCCTCATGGCCAATGGCGACTGGAAGAGAAGGTTTTGGTGTAGAGATCGGCCACCTAATCTTCAGTCGGTAAATAATGAAGCACCACCAGCTCATCACACACCAAGTCACGAGTGTAATGAATGTGGATCTCGATGTGCTTCGTGCTTGTGGAGCACAATATTCACATTAATTTGAATGATGCTAGTGCTGTCTACAAACAGGGGAATAGGCCGGAACCGCACACATATCACCAAAATGAACAAGGAGACGACGTAACCAAACAAGCTAAGAGCCAACTTCAAATATCGCACAATACTCAGCTTTAATTAGTGGACGATTTGGACACCTTGCTGCTTTTTTTCATCTCTAGGAAACAAATTGATATTTTGATCGATTGGATCGGTCTGCTTATCGTGCTTTTCTTACAGATGATGGGACTAAATGGAGGCCTGGAGCTCAACATGACCACTGGCAGGCAGGCGCTCCTCGTCATCGAGCTTGACAAGGTGAAGCAAGCAGCAGCCACAATCATCCAAGTTGCGTAAACTATCCAATACGCAACCCCAAATAAAAGAGTTGTCGTTATATGTTTAACGCAACATTTTCAAATAGTGTTGCAATCCAAGTGTTGCAAGAGGTCCTTTTTCCTGTAGTGAATCCAGTTCTTCATGATCGAACAAAACACATTGAAGTGCACGTGCATTATGTCATAGATGAAGAAGTGCGGGAAGGTAATGTTGCGCTACACTACATTTGAACTGAAGATAAGGTTGCATAGTCTTACTTACGAAGACATTTTCTACAAACCGACACCGGTTGTTGTCTGACAAATTGTTGCTCATACACCAGCATCAATTTGGGGAGGCTGTTGAATATGCTATTCGTATGTAATTGTAAATATGACATAGTGTAGTGTTTATGGGCCTGTAATTATTATGGGATTGTAATGCCCATGCAGCCCACGTCGTTGCCATGTACAGAGACGTGGGAGTTAGGGTTCGGCAGTACTGTAGAGTATTTGAGAGCAGCGGATGTATCCAGGTCGGGTTAAAGAAAATCAGTAGTAAAAACAGTAGTCGAAGAGTGTTCAAACTCTTTCGTGAATTAATACTAGAAATTTCAGAGATATCACTTAGATCCGTGTCTGTTTCTATTTCCGTTACCGTATTGGATCTCTTAACACACAAAATCAATACAAAAGAATTGATAAATCACCACTAATTTAAGTAGTAGTAATTTACTAATTTTTAAGTATTGATTTTTCCATGTCCGAATTCTATGAGAGAGGATACTTATATTTTTAAAATATAACTTATTTATTATATTTAATTTCTGAAGATACATAATATGTCTCTCATTACATTTCACCATAAGATTTAAATTTAATTTAATTTATGGATACGCTTTTGTACGGAAATGGTTAAGCACCATACACGAACGGACGAACCTCTTCCAGCAACTCGAGTGATTGAGACCAGTTGGTTTATGACAGCTCTTCTAGTTAATAAGAATACTAGAATATGCATTCGAAAGTAGCAGACCTAGATAGGCAAATGAGTTAACCTTAGCTCAAATGCATATTTGACAATTTTGGAGCTGATGTTGTACGTACGTGATATGGATAGAAGCTAATTATTATTATTTCTATGAAAAGGGGAAAAATTTCAAACCAAACATATGATCAGTAATAAGCTCAGCAGAACTTGGAGATGTATGTTGCGTGGCAATTAGGCAAATTAGTTGGTTGACCTTAATTGTCATCAATAGTTACACGTGGTAGTCAATTGTAATTGACCAAGTTGTTATAACCCTAGTCGATCCCGGTGTGTAGGGTTAATAGCCTATATATATGGCTTGCATGCTACTATATTAACCCTATATATATGGCTTGCATGCTACTGTAGCGTGGTGTAGTTGTGAGTTTAATAAAAGTTCAGCCGAGAGCTCTTGTGAGCTCTCCGTGGATTAGTCTCGTTCATATCGAACGAGGATACCACGTAAATCATCCGTGTTATCTTACTTCCGCACTTAGTTTTTTTCATGGTATCAGAGCTGACAAGATCGTAGATTTCGTTGGTTCATGATGGGTGACGACTAGAAGAAGGGGGCGAAACCCTAAAAGGATCTGGCAGTTCCGGTAAAGAGGGTTTCAAGCTGGAAAGCGATCCTACTTCACCGTATTTCATTAGTCAATCCGACAATCCCAATCAGGTATACATTGGAAGACCTTTATTCAGAAGATCTCTACCCTGCAAGATACCTTGCCAAGCCCAAGAGGGGCGTGCCCCCTGACGGGCTAGGAGGAAATGATGTCTCCGCTTCCAGCCGTTGCCCTAGCTTTTAGGAGAATCGCCGCAATTCTTCTTCGCCAGCGGTTGTTAGAGTTAGTCAATAGAGTTGTAATACAAAATTTATGGGAGAAGTAGAGTATAAAGATGGAGTCTTTTGGCAGTTTAATTATTAATTAATTTTATATTAATTAATTCATTAACGTTTGAATATTGTGAAAGGATGTGTCCTTCTAGAAAGGTAACTCCCTTTTTCTTTTGTGAAAGGATGTATCCTTTCGGAAAAGGAAACTACCTTTTCTGTGAAAGGTTGTGTCTCTTCGGAAGATAACTTCCAGTTTTCACCACTATAAATAGATGACTGCCATAATACTTTTAATGACGAGAGAATTCTTCTTCTTCCCGTTTTCCTTCTCTATTTCATAAACACAGAAGTCTGCAAGATTGCTGCTTCCAGACTTAGAATTGAAGGGACTCCTGGGGGTGGTTTGCTCAAGCCTACCAGCAATTTGTAGTGGGGACAAATAACACTCTAAGGAGAGTGATTAATCACGCCTTCAATCCGATTCTTTCCTACCAGTTTCCTGACAATCTTAGAGTGTTATTTCTTGAAAAATGAATTCTGGGGTGGAAAGTTTGTTGAAGGTGTGCATTCATTTGAGATGGAACGTTGCATGCATTGAAAAGAAAAGATGTCATGGTCCAATTTTGCTTCTACTGGTTGCTCTCGAAAGGAAAAGAAGCATTGCGGTGACAACCCTAGAAACCGGTAATACTCTGCCCCTCCTGTTCCTTGAACTTGGGATGTCATAATCGGATGCATCTGTTATTGCATGCATATACTGAAAGGCAGATTCAGTTCCTGAATAGATTTCGAAGCAATATAAGCATGGATTAATTAAACTGTTTGCCATAGTAAGATTGGCGATTCCTTGCATGTAAAGGGTTTAATTGATATTTGTATCGAGTCATTCAATTGGGCAAGGATGATTAATTTGTCAAATTGTTATAGGTTATTAAATTGACGGGCATGATAATTAGTCAATTGAATTGCTCTGTTAATGTATATGCTTATATATATAGTCAGTTCCATGCAGAGGAACACTCGGTTCCTATAAATGACTAAATAAGCATAATTTGTTGCGTTGGTTTTATCAATTTTTGTGTGTGGATAATGAATATGACTTTATGGTTGTCGCACCATAATACCCATTTAAGTAGTGATGCACTGCAAATTATCTTGTTTTGTTACTGTGCAACATGATTCTTGGTGAGGTGAAATAATCAGTCCAAGACGAATTAACCGCATCGGTTTGGTTAAGTGATATCAAATGCTTTTGTCGGATTTGAGATGAGATCAAACTCATAGTTCATATTATGAGAAGAGTTTGAAAAATTCATCAACTTGTTTGAATTTGGAAGAATCCACGTTGAATTCTTGAAATAAATTTTGTCACCAAAATTTGTATGAGTTTCAATTTGATGCTTGCAAGATGTAACAATTTGGTTTATGTAACAAAATTGTTTGAGTTGTGATCTTGAAGTAAATTTGAATAATGGTGAAATATGTCCCCCGACATAGTAATTTGTTTATCATGTATTGGTTTACGATGTCATGTTTCATATGCCATGAGGGAAAGAAAAAAATGAAACTAAGATGGGTCCTTATAGGGATTGAATAAGCTTGCCAAAGAATGATTATTATCAAAATAATCATTGCCAGAATTGTTTATGGTATATGTAGATATATACCATTGGAAAACAATTTGGCATGAGATCTCAATTGAGATGATCTTGTAGAGCTTAAAGTCTGAATTATTTATGGTATATTTGTGAAATATATACCATTGGCAAGTAATTAGACGATTGACTTAGAATATTCGTTTGAATTTTTTGTGGTATGTCAAGTTACCTTTGTGAAATGCCATTGGTAAGTAATTAGATGGTATTTCCAATACAATCTGGAAATGCAACTGAATTACTTGTGTCATCTTAAGATACCTTGACCAATTCCATTGGTAAGTAATTAGATGATATTTCTAATATCTGAATTGTTTGTGGTATAATAATTGAATTAGTCCATACCATTGGCAAACAATTAGATAAATATAGCGGTTGAAAGTTCAATAAGTAATGGAAAATAAAATGGAATTGTTCCATGATAGTTTGGCAAGTGGGAGAATTGTGGGGGATATGTTTCTCATGATAGTTGGATAACAAGTGCTAGTGATAATAAATCTACAATGGGTAGATTTTTATACTATGTGGTGAAATTGTTTCTTGGGTTTCGAAGAAACAAAATGTGTA